GCTAGCGCTGCAGTCTGGGTAGTTTTGGTTTAGAATTAAACACCCATTTTTTTGTCTCTGGAACAAAAGGTAGCCAGTGATGGAGGCCTTACCACCAATGTCCCAAAGCCACATCCATGAAAAATCGCTTTCCTGAGAGACTAACACAGAAGTGTTGCACACCCTTCTCAAAAGCTGCAGGTACAGAGGTGGACCGCAACTGCTCACTGTGTCAGCAGGGACCTGGCCCAGCTCTCCCCTGTCCAGGTTTCTCCAGTTCTCATTTGAGTCCCCATCTTATTCACAAGTTTCACTTTCAAATTACCATAATATCAGCCAACTGGAATAACTTCTAACTAAATTTCTTTGCCTGGAAGGCTTAATTCAGAGAAACACAAAGGAAATTGGTCCCTTTGGTGACCTCAGCCAGACCATCTTTGCTGTGACAGCAGCTCTCATCCTTGGTCACATGGTGCCATGCTTCCTGAGAGCAGCAAGGAAGAGGTTGACAGACATGAGAAGATTTTAAGCTCTCAAGAGCTGAAAATCAACCTTGGGCATTATCTGTGGGTGAGACGAGACAGAAAGGTTTGTTCGGTGCCCTTTCCTACCCCTACCAACGCTGGGGCTCAACCAGGTTGAGGAGTACCTGCTTCAGAGGTGCCAGCAGGAAAGTCCCTTTGAAATCCTGGTGGGAGATCCATGTTTCCCAATCTCTTGTGTCCTCTTGTCTTGTGGAGTGGGACATCACAGAGCCTTTCCTGAAGAAGATTGGACAGCATCTGTTTTTTAACCAAAAGGCTGGCCATGACCCTGCTGACCACAAAACAGGGTGACAACAGTGTCTGCACACACAGGTACAGGATCTCATTTTTCATAAAGTGGTTGAAGGCACATTCACAAGAGATCATTACTTCTGTCTGCAAATCCATGTCTGTCAGGCACAGATCAGCCTGGGAGAGAGATAAGGCATGAACATGAAATGTTCATCCATTCCGACTGGGCACACCGCTCTACTGGGACCTTTCTCCTAAGAAAAATCCATATCTAGCCTGATTTCCAGCTGCTCCTACCCCCTGGATGCCAGGTTTCATGCCATGCAATGAAAAATCCTGGAGGCGAGCTCATCACTTCTGCTGTCACGACATGGGTGGGAAGCACAGCCCAGAGAAGGTCACCAGGGGGACAAAGCATGGAAACCCCCTCCAAACTCAGATCCACATCACAAGAGACAATGTGCAACCCAGCTCAGAGGGCAGCTCTGCCTGTGCCGGTATCACCGGGAGCATGGGCGCTCTTTGTGGGCAGAGAGCTACAGACCGGCGTGCACGGAGCAGTGCAAGGGGAGTGGGAAGGTGTTGAACTGAGCCACCTACTCCATTCCTTGTCCACTGACCAGAAATCCCCTGACACGTGCATCAGGAGGATGGGGAGGACAGGGAACGGCCACATTTCACAGACCCTGTCTGAGCCCTCTGCTGAGAAGAGCAGGGGTGAGCTGCCAGGCTCCTCCATCCTGCACAGGGGAGTTCATCCTGTGGAGCAAGCAGACCTGGTGACAGAGCTGGGCAACACACGGTTCCGCCAGCTTGGCTTCAGCAGGGCACCCACGGCACCTCCTGAACGCGGACGCTTGCCACGCATCCCCAGAGGAGGGGACTCCCAGACCAGTACATGGAGTGGGAACAGCTTTGCTCTGCAGCCTCCCAGCCCTGGAGCTTTGCCCTGGGGTGACCTGGGCATCCCCATGAGGCGCACGCACTCAGCGCTTGGGTCCGGACCCACTCAGCTCCAGGAAAGCTCCTGCATGGGTAGAAGTCACACAGGTCTGAACGGGCAAGCTCACATCTCTACAGCCCGTCAGCCCTGCAGCCCTCTCCATGCATGTGCTGTCAACAGGCTGCTCTGTCACCAGCCTTTGGGGCCTCCGCAGTCCCCACCCGCATCCTGGTGGGCTTCCCAGCCAAGCCAAGCAGCGAAAGGCCACCCAGCTCCGCAGTCCTCACCCGCATCTTGGTGGGCTTCCCAGCCAAGCCCAGCAGCGAAAGACCGCCCAGCTC